GTTGGCTCACACACCTGGGATGAAATATGTGACATGTTTTTAACTAACCAAGGAATGGTTAATAGAGGAGGGTGAGCAAGTGGCTGTGTGGTGTTTGCACTGGCTGGATTTAAACCATGACAGTGTTGTTTTAGTATCATACCTAGGGCATTACGTGACAGACAGGCAGGAGAGAAAAGGGATCTAAATAAATCACCTCAACCAGGGTACAGATTAATTCTTCTTCCTTACAGATCTATCCACCATGTTTGGACAGCTGAATTAATTACTTTATAAATGTCACTGTTGATTTTAGGAAAAGGCTGGAAGTATTAGTGGAAACTAGAAGCTCTGAACATAGCAGAGGCAATGTGATTAAGATGTAATTGTTTTTTAGATATAAAATGTATTTTTACTAAGATTTTGCTGAACCTGAAGTAGTTATGTTGCAGTTGGCAACAAAAAAAAACAGAAAGTTCCATGGAGAAGTAAGAGATAGTAATGATCCTTTCATATTAATACCAGTCAGCACATAAGAAAAACACCATGCAGATCCCTTATTTACACTAAGCGGCCTGTGTAGCCCTTAATGGACCAGTGAAGTGAAGAAGAGAAGGAGCTGTAAGACCGAATAAGGTTACAGCTGAAATCAGCCTAAGTAACAGATTCAGCTATTGAAAAGAGAGGACACTCTTCCTGAACCGGTCAACACACAGAAGAGTTAACTGAGAGGTGCATAACCAGATCTATGCTGAGTTACGGTTCTATTTGTTAGGACTAGTTCAAATGAGGCCTCAAAATCGGGGGGGGGGGGAAACCAACTATTTTTCAATCTTCTCCCATCCTCTCTGAAGCATGAGCTAATCTGTACAGAAATTCTCCACAGACCAGGACCTTGCAGCTACTGAAATCAAGTCACATCATCAAGAAAAAAGCATTCCGTTTATCATTTTGCTCGGTGCTTCCTTTGCAGAAGATAAACACATGTAAAACAGTTCCAATGGTGTGCAAATGTTCAAAGGGGAAAAAATAATATATTGCCCAGTGTTAACTGTAAATTATTAACCAATATCTGATGCAAGACTATGCTTTTTCTAAGTAGTAATTAGTTACTTTTCAGGTTATTTTCTTTCATTATGAGTTTGTCTTCCCAGCTTATACTTTGCTTTCTTCAAAAACAAGCCCAAAACCATGCAGAACAAGGAAAAAGAACACAATGAAAAATAATAACCTAGTTTACTTTTGCACATTGATCCAATGAGTGTTCTATAACACGTATTTCAATTGCTCCCAGTCTTCCTGCTTTTGAATGGTGGCTACTTGCAAAGCAGAAGGAAATTGTTTAGTTTTAGGAAATGTAATATTTGACAGGTAATCACAGCACATAAAAATGCTGTACACAACACATGCATGTTGATTTTGCAGCTCAGAGAACAAACAGATTGCTTCCCTTTAGTTATCTAAGTATCTGACATCAGAAGCTTGAAAACAGCATAAATTGTTATTAATACAATTCTTCTCATTCATAAAATTATTCACTTTCAAAAATCAAAATATAAAGCATGTAACATGCCAATAACAGAATTCTCTTCTCTGGAAGTGATGTTTTTTAGTAGAAGAAAATAGTTTAAAGTAAAATCACTAGCAAACCGAGTTGGGTAGAAAAACAACAAAATTAGACCAAATTCAAAATGAGATGTCTTTTGACACACAGATTTTGTATTGCAATAGATTACACTAATAAAATTATATTTAAGAACACGTGATAAGTTTGTTCTCACAGTATTTTTGCTGTATGGGACATAGAAGTAGAACTCAAATGCAGTTATGCTGAAATTAGGACTTTCAGTTATAGCTGACATTACCCACTGGACGTCTTAGGTATAATGGAGAGAGTTGTACATGTACACCATCTACCCCTTAAGCAGAGGTGCTTGACAAATTTTTTCTTTTTGTGGATAAGATTTTAGGACATAGTGTTCTACAAGAGCTAGGAATAAAAGCTCTCAGCCCTGCAGGGAAGTACTTGGCGATACTGGTGGATGAAAAATTGGACATGAGTAAGCAGTGTCTACTTGCAGCTCAGAAAGACAGTCATATACTGCATCAAAAGGACTGTGGTCAGCAGGTTGACAGAAGTGATTGTCCCCCTCTGCTCAACTCTCAGATTCCACCTGGAGTACTGCATGCAGCTCTGGGGTCCTTAGCACAGGAAAGACGTGGACCTTTTGGAGCGGGTCCAGAGGAGGACCACAAAAATGGTCAGAGGGGGGGAACACCTTTCTTATGAAGAAAGGCTGAGAGATTTGGGGTTGTTCATCTCAGAGAAGAGAAGGCTCCAGGGAGACCTTATCGCAGCTTTAGAGTGCTTAAAGGGGGCTTATAACAAAGATGGAGAGAGACTTTTTACCATGGCCTGTAGTGACAGGGCAGGGGGCAATGGTTTAAAAATGAAAGACCGTAGATTTAGATTGGATCTAAGGAAGAAATTTTTTTACAATGAGGGTGGTGAGACCCTGGAAGAAGTTTCCTAGAGAAGTTATGGAAGCCCCATAATGGGAAGTATTCAAGGTCAGACTGGACAGGGCTCTGAAAAACCTGATCTAGTGAAAGATGGACCTGCTTGTGAGAGACTGTTTGAGGTAGATGATCTTTGAAGGTCCCTTCCAGCTGAAATCACTCTGTGATCCTATAAAAATTAGGTTCACAGAGGTCCAAAGTCAAGTTAGGGAACACTAGTTTGATCCCATACATACCACTGACCATGCGTTTTCCATAGCTTAGTTGTTACAGCAATTTTTAAAGGAAAATATTAACCTGGATTTAAAGATTGATAGCAACTGAGAATTTATCAGTGTTTTGTGAGCTGTCCCATGTTTACTATTACTGAAAAACAGACCTTTTGTTTCTAGCTCAAATCTGTGAATTCAGGTTTCAGTCTTCTGTCATGTTTGCTGCAGCAAAAAATGTTGTGTCTAGACTGTGATTTTTCACTGATAAACATGGACAAACAAATGGACTTGTTCACTACTCAATGAACTTAAAAAGGTGTGTTTTCTATTTGTTATTTGTTTCCTTCTGAATGTCCCCCAGTTTATCTGCATTGCTCTTATCCGTGAACAGCAGAAATCTTTCAAGTAAGATTAGCAGCAATGTTAAATAAGTACTAATAAGACTCTTCTATTCAAGTACTTTCTGTTTATATATCCAACAATTTTGACACTAAAATTTGTACCAAGAACTTTGTATAGTTAATTACATTTGCACCCCTAGTTTTTTCTTAAAGTTACAGCTCCCATAATGTACATCTTGTTTCCATAAACACAGCAGCTGTCATTTCCATTCCTACAATTTTCAGTGGATAATACTAGACTACAATAGAACTCCAGAAACAGAATTTCAAGCCATGCCAAATCAGATGTCTTACAGAAGTTTATTACATCAATACCACTATCTAATCAACCAAATTTGTAACCTCACTAAAAGAAAGATTCGTAGTGGAGTTTCAGGTAGCCTGATTTCCATAAGCCCAATTTGATTGCCACTATTTTATCATATTTCAATGCCTTTCTAATAAAAACAAAATTAGATCTTCCATTATTCTGTTTCAGATCAATATCAAGTTTTCTCTCAGTTTTTTGAAACTTTATCTTTGTTCCAGAACTTGATTAAAATCAGATTATAAATCTACTCAAGGAGGTTTGATTTTGGATAGTAATATAACAGCAGGAGTTTTTGATTGGAATAACTAACACAACTAGTATTTAAAAATTCTCTTCTTTCAAAAAAAAAATGAATGCTATAAATTTAAAAAGGAAATAAAACATCAAAAACGGTAGTTTTTATATGGAAGTCTTGAGCAGCACATCTTTTATTGCCTTGCTTTTTAGATATGACTGACTGAGGTGGCACTCTACTGCACAAAACTGGACCTAGCTCTTCTATAATAAAAAAGTAATATGTAAATATAATTTCCCCTAACTGCACTCATAAGTTTCGGACTATGTAAATTCTCTAATTTGAGTCTAATTTGAGTTTAAATTCTCAAAGTCTCAAGTCTCTTTGGATTAAAAAGTATTTATTTATTAAACAAAAAAAAATATGTAAAACTAGATTTCTGAAACTCTACAGTATGTACACTTACATAATTATTTATAAACAGATTATTAAATAGCAAGCAACATAACTGTTTATCCAGCAAACTCATTCTTATACAACTTGGAAAATTCTAATAAATATCCCCAAAATCCTGTAATCTGTAACCATTAGCAGAAGGCCTTTATCATCATTTTGCTGGTGTTATTTGTTCACTCTGCTTAGTCCTTAAAATCTTATTTAATACACTGTTATATTATAAGACTGCTTAGCACAGAAGTTTCAGTCACATTGGCACTGGAATTTGTGAAGAGCTTAAAGTTTATAATATGCTTGAAAAAAAGCAACAAAATTGTTAGAGTTTCTATATATAAAGTTGTTGTAACTTATCTAAATTGAAAATCCCTAGGAGGACAATTTCCTTGAAGAACAGAAAGTAAATGCAAACAACTATGTACGTGTTCACACTTTAAATATTGTAAAGAACTAAATGTGTTATTTGGTCTTAAGAATCCAACAGTTTATATTCATTTTCTAAATTAATCCTTCCCATCTTATAAAATCAAATCTCTTTTTAAGATGTTGATTTATGTTCCATAATTTCAGCTACAACCTACATCTTCATCCTGAGGATATCCATGCCTGGGTACGCTGCATTACAGTGAATATTTACTTTCAGCAGGTCTATATGTAAATTAGTCACTGTTGCTGTGGACTTTAAAAGAAATATGTTGATTTAAAAGGTGAAACAGCATCTTATGAAAGCTCTACTACTCTTTGCTTTATCTGTAGTTACTGGGAGCAATTAGAGTAACAAAAAAATTGGTGATGCTTCTGCCAATCTACAGTTTCCAGTTTTTTTCTATTCAGGTGGATAAAAATAGACTTATTCTGATATTCACTAGTGATTTAGAGATTTTTGATCTTCAGAGCTGAAGACTGAGTAATACTTTCGTAGTGTAGGAAGGAGCAGAATCTGTGAAAAAAAGAAAAAAAGGAATACATCTCAGATTTCAGCTATGTAATCCAGCACAAATAAATGGAGCCCTTAGCTAGAAACAGCTAGGTTTGATTTCATTTCAAAGGTATTCTGTGAGTGATCTTTTCAGAAATTCTGCTGGCTCTTATTATACAGAAGCTGTTCCTTCTCTAGTCTGCTTTTCAAAAGCAGGTATTGGTATAATCTATAGCTGAAGAGTTCAAAAGCAGGAAATCCAAGAAGGATTCAACCTCATCATAAAAAGCATGGAAGGCAGAAAAGCATATCCCTGAGCTGCTTTGCACAAAGCTGGTCTATGCTTGACAGGGCCAAACGCAGGTTTCAGGCAGCCTGGAAGTTGTTATCTTAAACTCCATATTTCACAAGTATGCAAATACAACTCCGTCACTACATATTTCACGAGTATCTCTAAAGCCAAATTATTATCTCAGGTCATTATCAGAATTTGGCACTTTTATATCAGACTTCACTTTACAATTAGATGGCTTGAATACTCAAGTGTGCAGCTTATGGACCTTAAGGAACAAAAGTCTAGTATCAGAACATGAAAAGTATTCTGCAGCCACATCCTGTGGCCTTGCTTTACATGTCTTTTATCAGGTCCTTGTAGGACTCCTATACAGACCACTTACATGAAATGCAAAGTATGAAAAGATACCATAAGATTCTTTCCACAAAAAATAATTTCTACCGGCAAAATCTCAAAGATATTTAAACAGAGCCTGTAGGGTATTTTGGCTCACAGGAAATTTTCCCTTTATTTCCTGACACTAAACAAGACACTAGAGATTGACAGTAACTTAATTGTGGTAAATATAAGACAGCATAGCAAAAAAAAGTAATATGCAAACTTTCAGGTGCTGTGCAGTAAAGAAAAGAGCAGTGATTTTACTAAATAATTTCAGAGTTGTTAAACAATTAGTACATTGATACAGATACACTGTTAAAGAATGTTCTCTCAATGTAAAGAACATTTAATATATACACTGTTTTGAGGAGGGAAAGCACTTCTGCAGGAATTCAAAATCGCTAATGCTAATCCCAAGAGAGGTAAGTAAATCTGGAGAATGAGGATACTCATTGCACACATTATCGTTGTCTAACAGGTGTACAAACACACCATTGATTTTGTATCCATTTGTTCAATATCAAGTGATTTAGTTAGAGCCCAAACTTTTAACAAAATACATTTGACATTTTCAATTTTAGTCTTATCTAATATCATAACAGACAATTACAGTTTAAGTGTATATTACTTGTACTCTTAAACATCAATGTTCCCAATGTATGTCTGAATTTATATCCAAGATAGCAGCAAGCTTACTGCAAGTTAACACATACCTCTTTCCTTGAGGTCTTCAATGTATGCTTTCATAAACTCTTTCTCAAATTGCTCACGATCACGTTCACTTTCTACAATTTCTTCAGTGTCTTCACATACAATAGTTTCAACTGGACTGTCCTTGAGACTTATGAATCTAGAGAGAGATTAACACAAGAACATATGCAACAGGTTTCCAAACATCAGTGGCCAGCATGAAAGACATTTTAGAAGTTGCTACTGCACTCAGAAGGGGAAACGTGAAAAACACTTGCTCAATTTTTGTATTATGGCATTGTTAGGATCCATCTATTATTAGAAACAAAGATTTCAAAAGGCACCTTCTCCATATTCTACTTTCCATATAAAAATGATCAGATTCACCTCTTTCTTTTGACCTATCTACACAAAGCATTCTATGCAATAACAGGTATATTTCTTTATTATGGAACTTCTCACAGACTAAACTGTAATTTCACATCTGCTAATGAGCAGTATGAACTCCATCCTAACAATCTTGTGTATCAATCTGGAATGTTGCTAGTATGACTTAGTTGACAATTTGTATCTCCATTTTTTGGTTGTTGTTATGCTGCTTCTCTTTTACAATGCATGACTGGACTTGCATTATGTTGTACTTGCAAATTTCCTAAAGCTACACATCACAGGTGAAAAACTAGATGGTCACATAAACAAGTTACATAATGCGCAAATTAAGTGCACAGCATTCTGAAAATCTCTGATATTACCACTCTAAGAAGAGAAAAAAATCAATAAAATTGTTCCTTTTAAAAGAACAAATGTTCCAACAAATCATATGGGTTTTTAAAATCTCATTAATTGCTGTAAGCCTGTGGTTGGTTGACCTTGGCTGGCCAGGTGTCCACCAAGCAGCTCTCTCACTCCCCCTCCTCAGCAGGACAGAGGGAGAATATAAGATGAAAAACTCACAGGCTGAGATAAAGCAAAAGCCATGCACAGAAACAAATCAAAGAAAAAAAAATATTATTCTCCACTTCTCATCAACAAGCTGTGTCCAGGCACTTCCTGGGAAGCAGAGACTTGGCACATGTAGTGGTTGCTTTGGAAGACAAATACCTTAATAACAAATGACCCATCTCCCCTCTCCTTTCTCTTAGCTTTTACTGCTGACCGTAGTGTCATATGGTATGGAATATCCCCTTGGTCAGTTTGAGTCAGCTGTTCCAGATATGTCCTCTCCCAACGTCTTGCTCATCTTCAGCCTACTGGCCCTTGTGAAGAAGGGTTGGAGAGACAGCCTTGATGCTGTGCGAGCACTGCTCAGCAGTGGTCAAAAACTTTACGTGTTATCCACACCATTCAATCTACAAATACAAAGCCCAGCACCATAAGGGCTGCTGTGGAGAATGTTAACTCCATCCTAGCTAGATCCAGTATAGAGGCTCAAAGGGTTTCATAATCAAAGACCTGAACATCACCTACAGAAATGCAAGATCATTGCAATTTCAGACCAAAAGGTCTTTTAGTCTTATCCTGCATGCAATGGCAAACCACTCTTTCACAACAAAGAATATGTGAACTACTAAACTCGTGTGACACTATTTAGCCACCTAACTCATCATGTCTGCCACTCACAGCAGCATCCTTTTGACAGCACTGAGCTTATCAACTCTGGGGCATGACTTTGTGATTCCAGGGTTAGAGCTACTATGACCAAGTTTGCACAGGAATAGCAGTTTAGGCATATGGATGCACAACATGGGGAACTGTCAGAAGACTACCAGAAAGCTGCAGCTCTTCTGCAATTTCCAATCTCCTTAGTGCCTCCTTAAGGTCTCTGATATAAATTAGGTCAGAATTTGACCACCAGGTATGCAGTAGAAACTGGTGTTTGTGAAAGTATTTCTCCTGGGTGCATCTACTTTATCTTCTTAGGAACATATTCCTTTCTCTCTCACTTTTACTTACTTTAAACCTGTGGTTGACTCACAGACAGCTGTGGGCATCTCAACCAGGTCATCACCACTGACAACTAGCAAACTGAGCTTTGGCATATTGACCAGAGCTCGTGGAAGATAAGTCAACTTGTTTTTCTGTAGTAGAAGCGTCTGCAGCTGATCTAATCTGTAAAAATACAAAATATAAGAATAAAGTAAAATATTTACTTCAGACAGGAGCATCTATCCAAAATAGCAATACAGACCTAATCTTCTGTAAAAGAAGAACAATTACATGCACCATCTTTGGCTTCTCAAAAATTACTCATACCACACCTTCACAAACTGTGATGACCTTTAATGGAAATTTCCAGTCATGGTTCGTCATTATCATACCTCTGACAAGTACTCAGAAGCATGCCCAAGACAAAATCTTACAAAAATTACTGTGATTTCATACAGAAGATGTTGACAGAGTATGATATAAAGCCCCACAATGTGTATCCTGGAACTAATCAAAAATATGGGTCACCAGCTCGCACCTTTGTGCACACACTGCTTCCCATGAACTGGATACACCTGTACTGGGCAGTATACTCCCTCCTATTATTTCTCACTGGTAATTAGTACTGGGGGGAGCAAGTGAAAGACCAGCTTCTGCTCATATGGCTCTTTCAAGTTGTCCCACTGAAATCAATTTAATGACAATGTTTTGTAGAGGAAGGTATCAGGCTTCTTGTGCTTTATTTCCCCTGGTTTTCCTAAAGCAACAGTAACTCGTGGCTGAGCATTTATTCCTTGGAGTAGATAGAAGGTGAAAAGCATAGCAAACTGACAAAACAAGTTTGTTTTATTTGACCAGAAGGGTCCATTCCTAAAACACTGTTGCAGGCTACTGATTATCAGGCCCATATGGTCTGTTTGAGTTCAGGGAAAGATTTTAAGTAAGGCTTCAGTTTGCTGCCAACTCATCTTTTTTAATCACAGACCTCATGGTAGTTCACTGAGGTTCTTCAACACTGCAGGCGTTGAAACCATGAGTCTGAATAAGAGTATCAGTTTACTGGGGTTTGGGGAGATCCTGACATTTCCTAGTCTTCAGAATGCACATGAGCCCAATACATCTCAAAATTCAAAATCCAAACTAAAACAAAGAAAACCTTGTTTTGTGATGTCTGATTATGATGCTTTGGTATCAAGGCTGGCAACTCAGTATGAAATTGAGAAGATGACATGTAGAAAAGGAATATTTTGGAGATAGAGAAATATATGTATAGGTTCCAGAGAAAAAAATCCCTGGGTATCCTTCCATAAAATAAAAATATCCTCTTAGAAGCTCTTTGAAGTTAATCAAATCTCTCCTCAAATCTCTGGAAAAAAAATTGCAGGTTTTTGCTGTCATGGTTAGAGCAGGTGAATTAATAATATAAATTAAAACTTCAGCCCTCCTGTCAAAGATGTCTGTGCTTACACAATGTCCCAGAAAGGTCTTGTGAAAGTTAAGGCTGAATGAATTTTTGGTGAAGTTTCCTCTGCCTCAAGGATCAATAAACAATCTGTATTTTTTTTTTTATAAACTTGTTAATACTTGTTCTGGTTTACTTATGGCTATGTAAAGTTTCATAAACCAAGTTACAACAGAACTCCAGACTGAATAAATAGGCCCAGGGATAGGAAAAGTGCATTCTCAAGCTAGCAAGCCCCATTAAAGTGATCAGCATGACTTTTTAAAACTAAATTGAGAGAGTGAGTGTATGTGTGCACATGTATATATACTTCAGGAGGGGAGGATTGTCAGTGTTTTCTTTAATCTTGCCATTTATTTTTTTTTGCTTTACTGCCAAAGTTTGTCAGATTCTTTCAACAATTTAAATATTCTTCAGTTCATCTTTCACTCATTTTCACCACATCTACCCTCCAGAGAGATACTGCTGCCAATTCCATGTGGTGAGTCTCACTTGCTGGAACCGGGACAGAGTGTGCTCCACGAACTTCCCAAATATCAATGGCTGGATATAATGACAAATTATCATGAATGCAGCAGAAAATGTAATTAGTTAAGTGAACGGTAGAGGCACTGACTGTGCAATCTGCCATCAAAGAGTTAGAAAACATCATTCCTGTTCTCTGACCTAGCCCATCAATAACAGTGGCAAAGCTTACATGCATTTCCGACTCATTTCCAAATGTGAATTTTTAGTGTGATTTTTCATTAATGGTGTCCCTTGGAAGCTTGTTACTTTTTAGATTTGCTTTATAGTTCACAAGCCTGTCAATGAATTAAAACATAAACTACCTGTCTATGTCTTCTGGGAGGTCTTTCAGGTTGTTGCTGCTAATATCCAACCACTGCAAATTAGACATCCGGAGTACACAAATTGGAATAGAATGGAACTTGTTTGCTGACACGTCCACAACTGTGACTTGTTTCAGGTTACTTAGCTAGAAAGAAGTGGTGCTTTATTTTAGTTACATTTTGTAAACACAAAAAGACATTTCGTTCAACAAACATTTTTATTCGTCTCAAAGCACTTTGAAAGACAAGAACTACATGATTTTTTCTACTCGATTTTTTTCCAGCCTTGTCTCTTAGTCATCATTTTGAAGGAAAAAGGATTTCAGAAATAACCTTCTCCCAAAATGTTCGTTACTTTTCTAAGACTGTTGTTATATTGAATGAAATTTTCGTTCTAAAAACCTTATAGTTTCAGATGACACCAAGGCTGGAACCAGACAATTACTTGGTTCCTTCCTAGGTAACGTGTGAATTAAGCTCTGAAGTGATAAAACCCAGCTTTGATAATCAATAGATGCCAGGTTACCATTCTTAATATCAGAAATTTTGTAACTGTCATAAAAAATACATAGATTTTCTTTGCTATAATTCTGTTATACACTGAGGGTATATTGCTAAGAGACCCTTAGAAAATGAAACTGCCAATTTAAGCCAAGAGAAAATTTGGTCCAAAATTTTTCAAAGATCTTTAAAAATACATCTTCCATACTGCAAACTAAATATATAACAAAGTGCACTACAGCTTTTTATTTGAATACTTTTCAAAGGAATTTAATTTTTAAGTACTAAAGCTTTAGCACAATGAAAGTTAACTACAAATGTAAAATATACCCGTTAAAGAAATAAATGTATTAAATAAGGCTGTGTACTGAATCAATTATTCACACTGCCAGTGTTCATAAAACTATGCAGCTAGCTAAAGTGAATGTCAAAGGAACATAAATGTTAACCAAGAAATGTATTTTAGAATGGAAATTATGTCTCTGAGCTTCTAATCATATGTCACCATCACAATCTAGCTCTATAGATCCTGATACAGAAGAGAAAGTAGGAAAAAATAATTCATTGGTCTTTGCCTGAAGGTTTCAAAAAATGTAGAAAATAATTAGAAAACAAAAGTCCCAAACTAAATATATTTTCCACTTCCAAAGCAAGCAAAATGAAAGCAACAGAATAAATTATGAAAAATTTAGACTGTAATAAAATATATTCTGAATCCTTGAGAATTATTTTTTAATTATTAATAATCAGGTCTTGTTTTGTTATATGTTATGGCCAAACTTATTACAATACTGCCAGACTTTCATTTTACTTTGACCCCTGCCATTTGAAATGCTCACATTCACTTCTTGGTGCTATGTCAGAGACAGTTTGGTTTGGAATTTTTTGGCAGAGTTTTTTTTTTTGTTTGTTTGTGGGGTGTGGGGTTTTTGTTTGGTTGTGTTTCTGTTTTGGTTTTTTTCTGGATATAACCACATATTGCTGCCAGACCTTAACATCTGGGGAAATTTTTTCAAGGAGATTTACTCAAATCATCATATTACAAATGAACACAAAATTAAGTTTACCTTTCACAAACATATAAAGGTTCAAAATTTCTTAAGTCAAAGATATAACTTGGGAATCTGTCCACCACTGCATTAAAACAGCCTTGGTGAGGCATTACCACCCCTCATGTCTCAATCTTGGTTAGGAACAGGCAAGCACACATTTTATTCTGACATTTCTCACTCCTAAACCATTTTTTTCATTTTGAGGCCGGACTACTGTCAATGAACAATAACTCCTATACTGTAAAGTTTACAGGTACTGATTCTTTTTCCAACAAAACAGAACCTCCCTTTGAACAAGGAAAGCAGAGTGACTCTTCTAGATCGTAGCAATGAGAAAATAAAGAAAATAATTGGCACCATCTTTACACTGCATTTACTTTGTGGTCTCTAATTATCGTCACAATTCCAAATCCCGAGTAAATATTTCAAGCTTCTCTGCACTCAAAACAATTTGTGAAGACTGCTGACACATTTCCTTCAGCAAACTCTTCCCAAAAGGAATTTAGAGGGCAGAGAATTAAAACAATGTCCCACAGGCTTAAATACCACCCAAAATGTTCTCAAAGCATCTCCAAAGAGGAAAAGTCACAGTCGCTAAACACCAAACGGCGGGTTATTTTAGATAAAATGACATCATTTTTCATTCAAGATCCTGAACACTTTGCCTTCACATGCAGTCACCTGTCACGTTGAAACAGCTTGCTAACATTAACACTAGGTGGTAAAATGATATTTCTTCAGGAACAGCAACTAGTTTTATATGTTTTCCTGAAAGTGCTTTTTTGCGTTAAATTTTAAAACTAACATTAATGTAGCAGTATTTTTTTCAATAAAAATAGATTTTTCTGCCGTTTTTCATATAATATTGAAAATAGATTGTATTAATACTCGTTTAGATAAAAACCTACATTTTTTAGGAGTCTGTATTCCTACAAAAATGTACCAACAAAATAGGCAGCCATGGACTCTCTGGATACAAAGTCTGGTACGACATGTGATAGAATATATGGAGCCATTATTATATTGTGTAAGCTGCAAGCCCTCAGTACTTTTTCTTTTAGGGTAATGTTTAACAAAACATGCCCATTTTCTGTAGTATATTGAAAGCTAATAAGAAATTTTATTTCATCTGTCTCTGATATGTTACCAACAAACACCTATAATATATGATGCATTGGAAATTATGGCAGGTATGTATTATATTTTCTAAAGAAGACCCTGTGTATTTTATTTCTTCTTGAAGGACTGATAGATTTTTACACCTTTTAAAACATTTCATTTTTAAACAAGCCTGTCTCTCATCATTTTACATTACAATTTATTTTTGATTTATGCTGATTTTTGCTATTTTCCTGTATTATATGATTTTGTGTCAATCAGTACGTAGGTTTTATGTAAGTTCCACATTAAAAAATAGCTATATTTGATAGTCTAGGTACCAGGGCCCACTTATTGTGATCCTTATGTTTAACGACTGTTGTCATTTTTATTTGACAAAGTGCCCCATTTTACAATTTAATAATTTTGTTCATGGAAATAATCCAGATAACACTGTAGAACTCCACTGTTTCTCTTCCCTCTGACAGTTAAACCTTCAGTTGAAAGAAAAGGACACCATGTCCTGGGCTGAACAAGTTACTTGAATAATGGATGTGGTTTTACTTCTGTTCTGTATTTTGCCATGAAAATTATTTACTGGTAAGGTTGTATGCAAGTTTATCATGAGTTGCCTACTACTTAGCACCAACAAATGAAGAGGTGTTAAGTCACATCAAGCCTTACCATAAAAATACTGTATTTTTCAATTACATGTAAACATTCTGGGACAGAAACTGCATCCCATCAAAATCAATGTATGACAAGACGTACAAAGAATAAACCTGGAAATGTCTATGTTACAAATGTGCTTTTGGCTAGAAATTTCAGAGTCAATGAATTAAAAGAAAATTTTTACCACTTCAGTAGTGTGATGGGTCGATGAGTAGGATCAGGTTATCACATATGTTGTCTCACAAGCACATAGATCAGCATTCAGCATCTCATTAGCTTGCTGAAATCTGTGTGGTATATATGACAAAGGAGCACCCTAGGTGGAAACTGCAGACTTGTTCACTTAGATCTCATGCATTCAAACTAAATCCCCAGCTTTTCTTTCACAGAGCTGTAACTGCAACCCCTTCTATATTCTCATTGACATTCCTGGAGAAAAGCACACATTAAAGGAAGGGGAAAGGCATCTTTAAAGGCAAAAGATATCTTTCGTGAAGATATACATTTGTACGTTTATAGCCCAGTCAGCCATTGTACTTCCAAACTGGATGCTTAAACTTCAGGAGGCAAAGACATTTTACAGTCAACCTCACTTCTTAGTAATAAGTGGGTTCATGTATTTTGTGACAAAACCCTCTGAAGTGTAAAAATGCACAACTTCAAACAGCATTTCATTTGGCGGTAACGTGATAAGCTAAATCCAAGAAAATGTATGTGGAAGCAAGTCTTCAACTGAGTAGTGACATTATTCTGATTTTGCAATGCTAAAACCCTAAATCTTTTGCAGAGTTAATCCACTGACACTGTTATTCTGATGCTGAACTGTTTACTTGGAAGTTTAACATTAACCTCTTCCATCTTTAGAGCATTACCATCGTTCAAACACCTAATGTTTAAAGTGTAATAGAGTAATTATAGCTATGATGATCTAGGCATAAAAAGTTAATAGAAAGGGACTTTGCTGTTTATTAAGGCAGGTTTTTTTGTATACACAAACCTTTTATCAGGTCTGCAAAGAATGAGAAAGCTGGCTGCATATGCAATATTCACAAAAATATCAGATATTGGACATTCACAGGTGACAGAAGAACCACATAGCAATAAGAGCAGGACCATCTTCATACAGTTAAAATTCCTAAGAATGTGGATCATGTGTTTAAGTATAGGAGTTGTTTCAAGCCAACAGATGAGTCATGTGCATGAAATTAAGTACTTGATTAATGATTTTCTGGGCTGAACCCAAAATAAGTCTGCTGTCTCAAAAAATAAATTTATGTTGATTAGTTACATTACATTTTCATAGTATTACTGCTGCAGCTACTTGCAGTCTGCATATATTATTGCACTTTCCCATCATAAAATCATCTCATCTTCAAACCTCCAAAACTTGTAAATTAAGGACACACATTAGAAGGGAAAATTAGGCTTTACCAAAAGTCAGTTACAAGGTTCTCATCAATTTAAATGGATCCAGTATCTCACTTTGAGTGCACCTCTTCATACATTTTAATTAAAACTACTAGAAAAGGAAGAGCAGCATTGTCAGTAGCATATGGATATTACCTGACCTCTTCAGAATGTTTGGATAGGAAGTGCCCTTTGAATATATCAAAAGACCCTTTTAAGACATATCCTGTTCCTTCACCAAGAGATGGCCAAAACTGCTCACTTTCACAACAGAATAGAAGCTTTTCATTTCTGCTCCAAGATGCAACAGCAATTGAAGAGATACTATTGAAATGGTGCCATCTTAATTATGATTTAAACATGTACAACAATTCTGTTTTGCCATGACAAAAAACTGTAGCCTGTGAAGTTACCCT